CTGGGCACAATTGGCTGTACCGCAGCTGATGTTGGTGGTGCGATAAATATGTTCGAGGCCACTCCCGAAACTACCTGGGGGCGAGCCTTAGAAGGTGTTCCGGTGAAGTGAGTTGAGATGGTGGGGTATCCAAGTGGAGTATTTGGGTAACTTATTGGGACATTGGAATTTCCACCTGCTCTTGGAAGTAACTCGGGGAAACCGGGTATGGCACTTGGTGGCTCTCTACCATTGGACCAGGCGTCCCACATTTCAAGCACACGGAGGCACAATGTCCTATACTCTTCAGCTGCCGCTGACTCTGAGGTTGGGATAACCGATAGTGGGCTATCCTCTGGGATGAGAATTGTTGGTGGATGACCTTCTGACGACATTTCTATACTACCCTTAGATCATGTAAAGTATGGGTGTGAAGCTAGGTTACCACAAACCAAACACCTTGAAAACATAACCTATACTCAATAGTAGATAACAAACCAATTAGTTTGAAGCAATTAACACATAGGAAATTGCACATTAGGGTGTGATGCACCTATACAGTTAAATGTGTTTCTACATGTTTTACAAAGATTGCATGTCTCATCCCAGCTTTGTTTATCTCCCCGATCTTCTCTTTTTCTCTCTTTTGCACTCTCATTTTCTCTCTTGTTCTCATTCCCTTTTCCTTCTTTTCTCTCTTTTTTTTGGTTCTTTTTCTTTTGGGTTTTCTCTTTTCCACATTCCTCTTTTATTTAAGTTATTTATAAAAATCATGACCAGATCCGATGAGGATTGCCTACGTATCACGACGCTGCGTGAATTAGATCATCACGTAGTTCAAGGATTAAATGCAACATAAATAAAATATTTTTGGTTTTTCAAACTTTTTATTAAAACAAGATTTCTAATTTTCTCTATTACAAAGACTCGGCCCTACATACTTGAGAATTAAAAACTTAAAACAGACTCGAAACCGACTTTAGGGAATGAAAATATAGACTCGAAAAATAAAACACAATCAGGAGTACATCAGTGCCTCTAATCCTGTCCTAGGAACACCAACTGGTCTTGCTGCGGGCCTACGCGCCTTGTCATCCTGGAGGCGATAGAGATCCTCCATTATCCGGCAGACAAGATCATTACTATGGCGAAGAACATGTACTTGGTCATGTCCTCACTCTCATTGCATTTCATCACAATTTAGTCGGCGATTCTTCTAACCCTTTCCCTGATGATGCCCTTTTCTTGCAACAATCGCCCAATCTGCTGAGATCTAGCCTCCAATACCTGAGTGGTAGTATGATTCTGTTCTTGCAAATGTTGTAGGTCTCCCTCTAGCTGTGCCATCAAAGCGTAGCAATGTTCTCTCTCGACTTTGAAGCTCTTGGCTTGTTTGGCCATCTCATTCTCGAGGGTGGTTAGCTTTTTTTTTCAAGTTTGTGACTTCTCTATCGTATTTTCTTTTTAGTTGTCGAACAAACTCTGCGCACCCCTCAGCGTTCTTTGCCAACTATGATCTAGCTCTTGCCAAACTACCTTCGGATATTTCTAGATCATCCCCGTACTCACATATTTTCTTCCTAAGGCCATTGATGAGTTTCTCATCTGCTCGACTTCTTTCTGGATTCTCAGTAGCTATCTTTATCCTTTGGATCTGGGCCCGGAGGACTTCATTTTCTTAGGCTAATTTTTTCTTCTCACCCTCATCTACAACGGCTTGCACATCACTATCGAACTTGAGGTCTCTGATCTGTCCTTCTAACCTGCTTATGGTGGCCCGATATTCATTTTCTTTTGTCAACCACTCCCACTGTTCTTGTGATGCTTCGACAAACTCTTGGAGGTGGGGTCTTTTAGCTGGCCTTCCAAACTCAACTTTCCTATTGTACCAGGCGAGGTAGCCGGGTGAGACTTCACCTTTGGATAGATCACGCACTTAGGTATTTGCTGTCAGATGTTGGCATTCACTCCAAATCTAGCGAACCACTGTTTCGTGAAATTGGCCATCAGAACGGATCTTGACCACATGAAGGCTAAGGTCTTCATCCTTGGGAACTATTTGACATCTCCCTAGCTGTCTCAAAACTCGGTATCGGGCATAAGGCTGGATACTTCTGAGACCCATCAGGAGGAAGTGGGGACCGGTGGTTGGCATGTATATGATTTCATCAACAGGAAGCCAACCCAACGTCCATTCTATTTGATTTGCAGTGACGTAGCGATGGCAAGATATCCATTCTGCGACCCCTTATAGCATGTTGAACCCACCAACCCTTGTATAAAACCCCCTATACAGCTTTCTCCTGTCGACCCATAGTTTATGTACTGAGGACGATGACATAGATGCTCAATCATCCACATTTGTAGCAACAAATTGCACCCTTCAAAAAGTCTCCTCTAGCTTTGCAGGCTGTGAGAGCTCGGAATATTTCTGACACTATCATGGGTGCGAGAGTGCTTTTGGCCTGAGTAAGCAAAGTGTTGATGACCCTAGCTATCCGTACATCAATATTCCCATCTTTCTTGGGAAACACTAGAAGACCCAAAAATATTACCATGAAAGCGAAGCACCTGTGTTCTTCCCATTTTAGTCGATTCCCTTTGCTGCAAATTTTGCTTTATGGATTGTTGAACCCCCCTATGTGTCTGTATCGCTGGTATATGAACTGTGGAGTGGAAAACCCAACTGCCAAATCTGGGTATTGGACCCCCTGCTTATCTAAATTAGCTAAGGGTAATTTAGGGTTTAAAGAGGGGTAAGGGTTGTAGGGTGTTAATTTGGAATGATTTGGAGCGATTAGGGTTCCGACCGGATTTTTCGATCCAAGATTCGAAGAACACCACAGGTATTTTGGAAAAATGGTTAAGGGATTCGTAAAGGGGGGGTAAAGGGGGACCTGGGGTGTTAATTTGGGGAGCTTTGGACCGCCGGAACCATCGTGAGGCGATTTTCGGCGGTGGTTTGCGGTGGAAGCGACGTAGGGATATGAGGCGGCTAGGGTTTCTTATTGGTGAGGGTGAGATACAGAAAAAATGAAATGAATTTTTTGAGTTTGGGGGGGG